TTGCTTGCGTCTGTATTCTCCACAGATCTGTCAATGAAAATATGCGCTGTGTAGTCGCTGTGTTCTTGGATCTATAATGAGAGAAAGAAAGAGGCAGAAGAGGAAGGAAACAACTTGCAGGCATCCCTCAACTACAGTGCGAGCCCACACGGCAACAGAAGGGAGATGGAATCACACCGTTTTTGAGAGACTTACGAAACAGTAGTTGTTGAGATCCCCCGATCCCACGACGTCGCTATGAGGAAGGGAAGTTGGCGGTGGGTCGGATTGCAAAAAAAGAAGCGAGTTTTTCTTTATTTTGCACCCTTTGAAAGCACTTGTAACGACACAAGAAGGAAACATATTCACGTGGAATAATAGCAAATGGACAGGCGTCTCCTTGCCTGGTGGTCTCTTAATAAGCTGTCGGTGTTCTTTTAAGGCATGACTCATTGTTCCAGAGGAAGTGAAAGCTAACCAAAATTAAGTGCATTATTAGCGGGGCACATATCCCCGAAGTGGTGAGCATACGCGCACCCGTTAAGGCCAAGCACCTTTACAAACTAACCAATTTGGAAAGGATTATTTGCCTTGCCCGGTAATGCCGGCCATCCCATCGTGGTGCGAGGGTTAAGCGCATCCTGTATTCTCGATGGGGAACCAAGCACCAGCAAAGGTTCGCCTCTTGGAGAACTTTTTCGGAGCTATGCTCACGGCATCGCACAGTGTCAGGACCAGACGTGCCTAGCTGGGGCACCGTATTATCTTTGTGGTCATGGTGGGTGGGTGTGGGTGTGACATTGGCAATGCTGGGGCAAGGAATGTTCATATGGAACAGAAGCACCCTAATGGACTTGATAAAGCCGCCCAAAAACCAGACCGAGCCATACCAAGAACCCCCAGGGAAGAGAAAGAGAAAGAGGAGGTCCCCGCTTCGCACGCTGCGGCCATAAAACAGAAGGAATCTGATGAAGCATTACCGCAGCGTCCAAAAAGCAAGAGAGAGGACACATCCCTCACAACAGAAGCGCCGACAAAGCACGAGGTGAAGGGCCCACTGCCGCTAGAGCAGCGGAGGGGGAAAACACCGTATATAATGCTCGAAACGTTTCGCCCACAAAAACTAAGCCACGTCACACTGCAGAAAATTTCATGGGGGAAAAAAGGGACACACACAAATGGGAAACGCCGGACGCCACGGGAGTATCCTCCTGTGGCGAACTGCCTCCCACTCACTTTGTATGTCGGACGGGCGGGCATGCAGCGCCACAGCAAACGTGGGCCCATAAAACGCCGCATGGTCTGAGACACGGATTCAGGCCGGACACGGTGAAACAGAGCCAGCACACACAGTGCGAAGAGACAAGGCTGCGCTTACTGAGCTACCCGCCCTAAAGAGTCTCCGATGCCACTTTGCTGTGGACGGGGGCAATGTCGTGATGTTACGCTTCACGAAAAAAAAAAACTTAACCAATACCTTCTTTCAGCGGAAAGGCTATGCCCTCAATGGCACACCCCTGCAGATACGACGTCTATCATGCAGGATCAGGAGCAGTCCACCCACCCCCATCTGTTTATTTTATTATTTGATTGGTTTCATGCCCCACTCAACATCAAAACGCACCACCCCTCTTTAACGATTCAGCCGAGGCAGGCCTGGCAGGCCTTCGGGACCCCGGATAGGAAGCGGGGGGATATCGGTGGCGCCGCAGTTGTGGCGAAAGTAGCCGCCCGCAGCCTCCAGCGCAAGTTTTTTTTTCACAGACGGTGTCGCCACCCAACAGATAACAAAATACAAAATCAACCAAAAACAATGATAAAAAAAAAGCAACGAAAAGTGGCAAAAAAAAACTACAATAAAAGAAAGATGTCCCCTCCCATATAATCGGTATGGTGGCGATGAACGTGCTCTACGATGATGTCTGGTGAAGCTGGGTCATCAACGGCATTCGGGAAGACACGATGCAGAATAATAAAGCCTTCCCATCCATACATCCACACACAAAGGGAAGCAGGCACATGTACAACCCTACACTTGCTTACACATACACCGGAGGCACCCGGGGCTGATCATGCCTCTTCACGCATCCACCACGCTACAGTAGAGGATTTGTATGCGGTGGTGATGCGTCGCCACAGGCGTCGCCTGTTGCTGAGCATCTTCTTCGTATCGAGTCTCTCGTCAAGCTTTGATTCTGATGATGATAATGATGATGATGGAAAAAAGTGGGAATGCGGCACGTGAGTCGCTCCTTTACATCTACTATTCTGTGATGCAAGAGATGAGGCTTCATACCCTTATTGAAAATGCGATGGCGCCATTGTGTGCGTGCTGGACGTGATAAACAGGGCACCCTGTGTGCACATGCATCTCTCCTTATCTCCCACACACAAATTCCTCCACTTGAGGCATTCCCACACATCACACGGCAGTGCTGCAGCACAAAGGGAAGCTTGAAAGTATTCCAGCCCCTTGGCACGAATTGAAGCACATTTGGTAGCGAGCATCACCCCACATACTTACGCGCAGTACGCAGAGTGAACGGCGGCAGCAGTCATCGAAGTGGCAGCCGTCTCATTCCCCCGTCTGCGGATGGAGCAGCCTGTGAGGAATGAAGTTTTGGCGCAGTCGCTGGCCACCCACTCGGCACCGATTTACCAACAACGCCTATATATGTGTATAGCACCACACATACGGAGCCGCGCAACCAGGCCATGGGCACAGTTTAGGGTGACACCAAGCACGCCTCATCACCACCTCCTTGGTGTATCTCCGACGTGCAATCCTTTTTCGACAGGTGGTGAGTTACCACAGAGGGTACAGAGACACAAGCTGTCATCACCAGTACCAGAAAAATAGGATGTAGCCATTTAATTCTTTACCTTAATTCACACAGGTGAAATACGTGTGCCACCAGAGTATGGTGATCCTGAGTAACAGTTGCCAGCATTCCACCTCGGTACGCACTCGGCGGCGCGTATTACGGATCTGGTTCATCCCTTCCGGCTGTGTTCGTCACGCAGCTGTTTCACTCTCTCTCTGAAACATCACTCGAATAGGGAACAGGCGACATTGGAGCATGGTTTTACTGCTACAAAAGCGTGGCGTGATTATAGGGACAACAAAAATAAAGCAGCGCCCTCCCAAGGCTTTCATGGAGGTACGGGTTCTTTAAACACACCGTTGGCCCACTTCGTCGTTCGCATGTATGCTTGAAGAAGCTGCCTTTATACCAATACGTAATGGTGACAGCAATTTACACGTACAATTGGGGTAGGATACGGATACGGCAGCTGCCACCAGTAACGGCTATAGTCAGCATCATACATTTAGTGGAGAAGCCCATCACGTAGCCTGGCAACGACGAAAATGGAAAGAGGTCACCAATCACTTGGACGACGCCAAGTTAAAGGCGGGCTCAGGGCCCAAAGAAGGTGACCACTATCCCTGGGCAAATCTGCACAAAGCACCTTACACCTCTTCTTTGCACCCTCTCGCCCCAACCGGCAAGCGCTGGAAATGGCATAGTGCCTCGGCAAGGAGGTAATTGTGAGTGTCCCATTTGTGGTGAGCATGTCCTTAGATGAGGAGGCCCGCATCGCANCCCCCCCCCCCAATACGCCAAGAAGGAAACGGATCGCACTGGTGAACTCAGTTGCCAGATTTCACACACCTCTGGACCGACAAGAAGGGTACGTAACGCTAGGAGGCCGAGGAAATGAGCAAGTGGAGATGTGTGCCCACCCACCCACCCCTTGTTCCCCAGGAATCCTAAGAATCACATGTTCTGCCCCGAAAAGGCCGCTAGGAGTGGATCTCATTCCTCCCTATCCGGAGGTGCGATTCAAAGGCCAATTTTTTGTCTGTTAATTGCAAGAAGCATCTACTGCTGCTGGTGGTGGTGTGTGCTTTTTTGTGTGTGTTTGTGCTGTCAAACAGCATCAAAGACCTTGTAATGACGAGAAGCCCCAAGAAAGCAGCACGTCCCTAGCTGCGACATTTCATATTGTGGACCACGAGGAATTTGTCATTGAAGTGCCCAAAAGCCCACTGGTGAATGGAACTCGGCCGTCTGCCCTTCCGCATCGGATGGAACCGCGGTTAAGTGCATCCTCCAAGAAGCAGAAAAGTATTTTTGTGTCAGTCCCCCAAACGTACGCACTCATTGGCATTGCACCGGGCCGTAGAAGATGCGAAGCCACACATTCCAAGAGCGTTGGCATCGTTGTTGTCTGATGACGAGTAGTGGCATTTAATAAGTTGACCAAGTTTCTGGCTCTGGCAAAGGGTAAGAGCTTGCAGCCATTGCAATTCCTGCAGTGTTGAGCAGTGATACCCTGGAGACCGCGAGCTACAGGCCTTTGCGAGAACTTTCCAGTAACCACGAATACCGCTTATCAAGGTTGCTGCAGCATATTTGCCCCACAATGGAGGGGGGCGCTTCTGCCTTCCATGGGAGTAAAAGTCCAGCTGGTCAGCACGGTCACCCCCACTACCGCTACGTAAACGAAAAAAAGGTGCGGAAGAGAGTGGTCATTGCAGAGATCCGGCCAAAAGAGAACCGATGCAATAAAAGATACGACACCTCGGCATCCATGGAAAGCCACACAATTCATCAAGTGCGAGAGAAGAATCAAAAGAAAAACAAACATAAAGAGCACATGAAAGAAAACAAAACACCCAAAGCAGCGGAGAGGCCACGGCTAATGGTCAACAGGTCAGGCATACGCAAGGCTTCACCCTCTTCGCTCTGAGATTATTAGCTCTCCTGTCAGAAGGGCAGGCAGCGCTAGGTGCTCGAAGCTCAGCACACCAAACAGAGCATAAGTCCCTGGCGCTATCCCAAAGACCCACACCGTGCGAAAGCAACCAAAACATTTTTTACCATCCCACAGAATTCTCTCGTTGCTTGGTTACCTCTCAAAGAAATATTCAAGGAGGAGGACCCGAGGGGTTTAAACAACTAAAAGCGTTTTGCGGCAAGTAGAGCACTCGGTGAAAGCCTTGCTTTTGAGAGAGGGGCATGCAAAACAACTCCAAAAAGACGGCTAAATTCAGCAAAAACACGCTACGTTTTTGCTGAGTTGGAAAGACAAAAAATAGTAATAACGCAACAAAGCAAAAAAAGTCGTTTTGATAGAGTCCACTTTTTTTTTTCTTGAAAGAGGGCGCGCTGTAGTGGGGCTGTATTTGTAGACTCTTGGTCACGGCCCCGCGACTACGCACGTGACGCAGCGAGGCGGACCTTCTCAATGAACTCGTCGATCTCTGCATCATTGAGGCCCCCAAAGCGGGAGATTGAGCGGATGGACGAGCCGTATATCAGCTCATACATGTCCGAGCCCTCATCCAGTGGAGGTATTCCAGCCTTCTCGAGGATCTTCGCCACGTGCGGCACCATCTCGGGGTACTTGGCCGCCTCCTTCAGAGGAGAGTTGCGGTAGATCTCGGGAGCATCCTTCACCTTTACCTTCGTTGCCTGCACCTGCGCCTGCAGACGAATGTCGCGCGACGACGCACCCACGAGAATTGTGTACGTCTTGTCATGCATGCGCCACTCCTTCGCATCCACAGAGTAGTATGAGAATGAGCGTTTATCCAGCGTGAAACACACCTTCTTCGATTCACCGGGCTGGAGGAGCACCTTTGCAAACTCCTTGAGCTCCTTTTCCGGGCGCGCCACCGGTGCGTGCGTGTCGTGGACGTATAGCTCAACGATCTCCTGCCCAGCCACCTTCCCTGTGTTCTTCACAGTCAGCGCAACCGACACGGCGACGTCGGAAGGAGTGGTGTTGTGCTTCGCCTCAACAACCAGGTCACTGTATTGGAAATTGGTGTAGCTCAGGCCGTGACCGAACGGGAAGAGCGGCTCAATTTCTCTCATGTCGTAGTAACGGTAGCCGACAAAGACGCCCTCGCGGTACACCGCATCCTTCTTCTCCGGGTAGAAGGGAAACGGTGGGGTGTCCCTCAGTTTCTTTGGGAACGTCTCCGCGAGCTTACCCGACGGGCAACAGACGCCGAACAGCACATCTGCCATGGCGCCACCTCCAGCCTGGCCAGGCAGGTACGCCTCCATGATGGCCGGCACACAATCCACCCACGGCATCTCCACCGGTGCGCCGTTAGACAGCACCACAACCACGTTGGGCTGCGCTTCAGCAACACACTGGATCAGCTTGGTGTGGCTCGCCGGGAGGCAAAGGTCCACACGGTCAACTGCCTCCAACTCGTGAGGGATGCCGACGAACAGGACAGCCACGTCAGCCTTTTTCGCTGCCTTCACAGCCTCGTTCAAGAGGTCCGTTTGCACCTCGTCGTTCTTCATGTCGTATCCGCTGGAGAAGGTCAGATTTTTCGCGTCCACCAACTCACACATCGCATCCCAGGCGCGCACCGTTTTAGTGGGGGTCACCAACGAGCTCCCCCCGCCCTGGAATAATTCCTTCTTGGCGAACTCGCCAATAACCGCAATGTGAGTCCCATGGCGCCGCAACGGGAGAAGCCCGTCTTTGTTCTTGAGCAACACAAGGGTCTCGTGGGCGGTACGACGCGCAAGGTTGTGGTGCGCCTCCTTGTCGTACTTGGCGTTGGGAACGACCGTCCGCTGCCGCTTGGCAATCAGCTCGAGTATCCGACGCACAGAAGTGTCCAGCACATTCTCACTCAGCGCACCATTCTTCACGGCAGCAACGATTTTGGCGCTGTTGACCCCGTGGTTGCTCGGCATGTCAAGGTCCAGACCGGCGCGCAGCGCATCCACGCGCTCGTCCACCGCCCCCCAGTCAGACACAACGAGGCCCTCGAACCCCCACTCCTCCCGCAGGACCTTATTGAGCAGCCATTCGTTCTGTGAGACGGTCACGCCGTTAAGAAGGTTGTATGCGCACATCACAGTCCACGGTTTCGCCTCCTTTACGGCGTACTCGAAACTGGCAAGGTAAATCTCTCGGAGGGTGCGCTCGTCTATCACAGAGTTGCTGCCAGTGGTGCGGTTGGTCTCCTGGTTGTTCGTGGCGAAGTGTTTCATCGACGTTCCCACACCCCCGCTCTGCACGCCTTTTATGAGCGCCGCAGCCATGTGGGAGCTCAGGAACGGATCCTCTGAGAAGTACTCGAAATTGCGACCGCACAACGGCGAGCGCTTGATATTCGCGCCAGGGCCGAGCAGCACTCCAACATCCTCCGCCTGGCACTCCGCCGCCACCGCACGGCCCACCTCCTGCAGCAGCTCGCGATTCCACGAGGCCGCCATGCCCACTGCAGTCGGGAAGCACGTTGCGGGCACAGCCTCAAGGTCCTTGGAGCGACCTGGCCCCGGCACCGCTTTCCGCACCCCGTGTGGTCCGTCCGTCAAGAGGAGCCCCGGCACACCAACACGTTCCACTGCGAGGGTGTGCCACATGTCGACACCAGCGCACAGGTTGGCCTTCTCCTCCAAGGTCAGCTTTGAGAGCAGCGAGTTGATGTCCTTCATCGTGTGCAATGATAATGGCAGTTATAAGAAGAGACTGTGTATTACCTGTTTGAATAACCTGTCAAGAAGAGAGGAACTAAAATTGTCAAGGCTGTCACACACACACCGCCATCAGTCCTTCTTGTGCAACTGTAGTTATTCAATCAACGTCTCACGTCATGGGCCTCACACTACTCTTTCAGTTCCCAACGTCATATGAAAGGGTATCAGCGCAGAGAGTAGCAGCCAGCACCAAGGTTTTAGAGCACGGGAGACACAAAGACGTTCGTTTCGCTTGAGTAAAAAAAATGATATGCAAAAGCATAAGTGTAAAAAATGAATTAAGAACGCAAATTAGCCCCAAACGATTAGGAGGTGCGCGAATGACCCAAGCAGGAAAAGAAGGTAAAGAAGAGAAACCTTGTGTTTGGGGTATTCTGGTGCGTCCTTGTCATACCCACAAGTCATGAGTATGAAGGCGCCATCCCCGACCGTGGGTGCCCAATGACCGCGTCGAGCAATGTGCGCCACTTCACCAGGGGCAAAGGGGAGAGATACTCACGTCAAAAACAAAACACGAATGGGTGCCGTGCGTCACCACTGACGGCTCCTCGCCCCCTTCGGGCAGGGCACACTTGCCGCCGTGACACGGGCATTCCCTCGCTGCCTGCACAGCTCTTACACACACAGAGCCAAGGCTGGGCACAGGGAACAAGAGTAATCAAAGGCGTTTTCTCGGAGATCAAATAACAAAAAAAGTTAGACCAGGTGGCATCTTTGCGTGTGAGGAAGACACCGGTAAGGAAAGAAAAAAAAAAGGAGTTTGAAGTTTTTTTTTTCCTCCTCGTGCATTTTTACGACCTGATGTCGCTGCCCAAGGGAGGAAGGAGGAAATGCATTTGCGCATATCTGCTTTCTTAGGGAAGATTATGTGGGACTCGGTGGTGGAGAAACCCACCCATACCCACTAAAACCCCCTGATAATGGAGATCTTTCAACCCACGGGGGTGGGCGACACCAGCAGCGCGGTGTCCCAGAGGAGCAGTCTCCGGTTGGGCCCTCCGCTTGGTCCCTGGAGGGCGGGTCGCGTTCTATCCGGACCATGACGCAGTTCCCGGGAGAACTATAGCGTATGGCATTGGATTTCCCAGTCTGAGAAACCGGGTACTCGACCGTGAAACTTATTGATTGGTAGCGTGTATTTTCCCTGCAGTCTCTCCGTTCAGGTACTTTACCCATTACAAAACGCGCATTATTTGCACGGTACTTAACCACGCTATCCGAATAAGTAGCGACCGTATCACGGTGCAGCCCGAGCTAGGCCGGATTCGGTGCTGCAATTGTGGAAATATAGCTTCCCAAGTAATGAACTTAGTACTGGACCTTGGCGCCACGATGAGGCATTTCCACAGTACCAAGGAGGTTGAAGTTTTAGAAGGCAGACTCTGCAATAGCGAGTCTGCATGGCAGGTAAAATAATCAAAAAAGAAACAAAAGCGTTTTGATGGAATGCGTTTTATTAACGTCTTCACAAAACTATCATCCTGATACAGGCGCGGCAATTCTGCTTTGTGTGGCTGCCAGAAGTGGGGCGCACATCTCAGGACCGCACGCATACGTATGGCGGCTCACTGAAGTTGCACCTCAACTCGCTACACCCCAGCGCGGTTTCTTTCGTCTTCGTCGTCGTCACCGCCGCCGTGGGACTCTGGGATCGAGAGGGCATTGCTGGGCTCTGCCGGGCCGCTGCCGCCTTCTCTGGGGTGTTTGTCCTCCCACGGGAACAGGAAGAACAGCTCAAGGACGGAGCAGAAAAAGCCAACACAGCCGAAGAAAATGAAGGCAACTGCCTGACCCTTGTCCTGATTGCCTGAGGGGCCACCGGAGATATTTTCCACTGCAATCGGGAAGAAAAGGTTGATGATGATGTTGAAGAAAAACTGAACCAACATCACAAATGACGCACCCTTCGGGCGGAATGAGGCAGGAAACACGTCTTGGGTAAGCACACCAAAGCAAGCCGCAAGACCGATCTCAAAAGCAAAGATGAAAATGGCAATGCCAGTGATTGCAACGCCGTTCCGCACATTTGGCTTTGCAACGCCAGGGTAGACAGGAACACCGCACAGGAGGAGACATGCTGCTGACGACACAAATGAGCCAAACAGAAATAGCTGCCGCATAGTGAACCAACGTGCAAGCAGAACGGTGGTCAGTGACGTGAGGAAGTTCCACGCCATCACGACAAAATTGCCTAGCAGCGGCTCCATCCCAAGCCGGCCCATGATTGTTGGCGCGTAGTTCATCACAGCATTAATGCCGGTCAGCTGCGCTGAGCCTGCCATCACCACTCCCATCACCAGTGTGCCGGTCATTTGGCGCCAACTGTACTCGTTCTCATCAAGTATCACCGCGTCTTTTCTCTCATCCTCGTGGAACTGCACCTTACTTCTCGGAAGAAATATGCCCATTAGCAAAATGCACATTGAGATGGCTGTCGAGATGGCGCAAAGGCCCTGCATGCGGCCGCCTATATTTGCATCTTTCGTGTAGTCAATGCTGCGGCCAAGCGCCAGACCCATAATTGCAGCAAACATGATGCCAAAGGTCGTGAAGGCACCAAGTGAGGCGCCAAGCATATGGTAGTACTTCCGAATCGCATTCTGGTCAAGGTACATCGGGCACACAACGTAGATGGCGCCAATAATCAAACCCATCAGCAGGCGGCCAACGCAGAGCACCCAAAATTCATCACACTCCACAGATACATGGTACATGATGGATGAAACGACGCCGATAATGCCTCCAATTGTAAAGGTCGCGTTATGTCCTGTTATAATAACCAGCTTTCCGGAGTACATCGCACCAAACATCGCCCCAAGAACCATTGCGCAGGCGAAGATGCCATTTTCAACAGAGGTGTACCCTATGGGGTTCTTGCACACATCATCGCTGTAAACCCAGTTGCAACGCCCATCATCTTGGCAGGCACTCCGGGAGGCCTCGATGTTTGACGGGTCTGTCGGGTACTCCACTGAACACGTGAATTCTCGCCACATGCACGTCCCCGTCCCCGCGTCCCACAGGCAGTCTACGTTCAATACTGTGCTGCACGCATTTTCGCTCTTGTACAGCGAGCAATCCGTCGAGCAAAGGTACAAGAACGCGTAGATAGGCACCAATCCAATGGTGTAGCCATTGATCAGGCCACCAGCGATGCACACTTGGGCAACGATCAAATTGGCAAGGGAAAAGAAGCCCGGATCGTCCTCCTCCGCCCCCTTCTCATTCTTCTTCTCTGCTGGCTCCGCGGGTCGCTCTTTCTTCACTTCCGCGGGCGAGTGCCTGTCAGTCGTTTGGTTCAATGTCTCGTCGGCAGTATCACCCAGGGGAGTGTTGCGTTCCATCATTTTTGTGTGCGATGTTGATGTTGCTCTTCTTATTGTTTCTTTGTGGTTTACGTAAGTTTTGGAGCATTACGCACAACGAGACAAGCAGAAAGGAAAAGATGTCACGGCTCGGGCTCTTCGAGCTTCGGTTCGTCGCTGCCCGATACAGACGTGTAATTGTTGCCAGCGAAAGGCACAAAAAGAGCAGAGACAGATGTGACGATGAGTGGGGTGTTGAATGTGGAGTGTTATGTGATCATGGCGCGCCCGAATTCGTCTCTTGGGAATTCATTTCGATTGAAGAACGCCACCTCCTTCGTAGCAAAGTTCGCAGCAGAAGCGGTGCCTCGCCACAACGTCAAGCAACGGTACGAAATCAAGCAGAGACGGAGAAGCGATGTCACTGCCGTCCAGAACAAGACCCACCTAGCTAAGAGACAAAAAAAAAAGAATCATCACCAGAGGTAACGTTTTCTTTGCGATTCCGTGCCAACTGCGCGCTCAAGCAGCAGCCAGCTAACGCTCAGAAGGAGCGCTGCATATCACACCGGAAAACTCATATTGGCTTGCCCCCGATTGGTGTGCAGATGGTTCAAAGTGGCAGTGGTGGTAGTACTAGTAGTGGTGGGAGCAACCGATAGAAAATGTCTCGTATTGCTTCGAGGAACCTGTCGCTATATGTCCAACCGCAATTGCAGTCGAGCATGTTGACGGGCGAACCCCGATCAAGTTACAACCTGCTGCGAGCTCAATTGGTTGAAGTGATATTCATGGCAGTTAACCCCTTTTGAAGGCTCAGCGCCACAGTAGATAGCCTTGAGAGTTCACTCGGGCCACTGGTGCCGTCATTGGAGTCGTAAAACTCAACAAAAGCCCTGGCATCCTCGCCAGCGGTGAAGACACCACCCCAGAGCGTCAGTCCTCGCTGTGGGGCGATGAACCCAAGCACAACGCCCCAGCAGGCGTGCTGCACTTCGGTTATGGGGGTTCATGCGAACAGCGACGCCCCCACGCAGCTCGCCGTCGACAGGCTTAACGATTCCAAGCAGCAAGTAGAACGTGGCATCCTCGCGTATCTGGAGAAGCCCAGTTTCGTTGTGCTTACGCAAATCCATCGACTCACCACGGAGCTGCTGC